TCTGGCAAAGTTTTTGGAGCCCTGGTTCCTTTCGATCGCTTCTTTAATACGAGCAATATTAAAGTTGCGTAAGTCTCGCCGCATGCATTTGGAGATCTGTCTGTTCAGTTGCCTGTATGCTGTCAAATCTGTTGACGATTGCAGCCTCATCTCCCGTCTAACAGCTATGAGATTAAGAGTGTGATCGGAGAGTTTTTGTGTTCTTCTGCGGCGGGTCTTGCAGAACTTAGCTCCAACCGCATGGACAGTTTCCACGAGCTTGTCATTCATATCCTCCACTGCATTGAAATCTTCTAGGCACTGAAAGCGGTTACGTAACTCGAGCTGAAAAGTCTCGGGATTCTGGATTAGAGCATGAGGGGGACGGAGCGTTGACTTCATTAGACGAGACCTCTCCAACTTAACGTTTAGGTTCAGTGTGCCTCTAACCATTCGGTGATCGCTGCCGGTTTTCACCCTTGAGATCACTGAGAAATCACTGAACAGTTGGCGTCTGGTCGTCATAATGAATTTAATCTCATTTTTTGTCGAACCGTCGAGGCTCGACCAGGTCCACTTCCTGTGGGGCCCCTTCTGGAAGAAAGAGTTCATCATAAAGAGTCCCTCTTTCTCCATAAAGTAAGCCAGCTGAGCCATAAAGATAACCATTATTCAATGACCGAATATTACCCTTTTGTATTTATTATGTAGTTGTGGTGTATAAACATCCACTGGATACACTTACCAAACAAAATGGGATATATTATGCCAAATGTGAAGGCATCGTCAGGTGAAGTAGACTCTGCGGTGGCTGAACGCTAAGAATCTACTTCGCCTGGATGCCTAGCGTAGAGGCGAAACACATGTCGTATTATCGAAGGTAGTGTGTCCTTCCTAGTGTAGTGGTGTTAGGAGCAGTAGGGCTAGGATTAGTGGTAAAATACAATAAGTGCACGGTACCACGCCAGAATCAACCCTAAATTTAAAACGGTCAAAACTCTCCTAACGGCGATCGCTCTGTCTATTGTGTACAAGCAAAACAAGTAGCTAGCCACACGGGCATCACTGTAGGTGCAACGCGCAAGTGTGTAGTACACGTGTTATTTACAAGAATTCTGGCCAGCCACAGAGGCGCTACCGCACGTGTAACAGCGCGGGCGATATTACATACATAAATTTCACAAATACAAACATCCAGACCTGGAAAAATTATTTGTAGGCAATACAAATACTTGAATCCTTCAGATTTAGAACCCGCGGCACTCAACTTTTTCTTATTAAGTTTTCTTTTGTTAAATTATTTAGCCACTGCGCTACGGAGCCGTCTAGCTATAACTAGGTAAATGAAAGTCACCTCTATAGTACATTTCATTTGTAAATCAAAGTTATCTAAATAGAAAAAAAAATAGAACATAATTAAATATACCCAAATGACAAACTAACATACTGACTACCTGATGGTAAATAACTATTGTAGATCATGGACACCTTCAACGAACATCAAAAAATGAAGCTAAAGATGCGTTGTCACCTTAAACTGGCTCTATATATTTTCAGACTGAAATACGACAGTACACATACTGGTGATTAGCTTTAGAAATAGGTAAACAGCTGCTACCTTTTTCTTAAACATGGTAAAATGCCTATACATACCCACCTCGCAGGACTCGCACTGACTAAAACCTCATGGTGTTCCACCTTTTGCACACAACCGTGGCCCACCAGTGCCAGCTGTCTCATGGCGGCTCCTCCTCGGGAGAGGACCACTCGTCCCCCCCATCTCCTTCTCATGTAAGGCGAACCAGAACACATGGTGCGTCCTCCTTCGCGGCCTCCAACTTCACATGCGCAATAGACGCCCCAGTGCTCGACGCGCGAAGGCCATTGGGTCAGAAAAATGAGCACTCAGAAGCACAAGCCTTCTTGACTCCAGCAGCGGATCTGGTCCATGATCCCACCTAGATTCGGCTGCGGAGGGTAGAGAGGGCGGCGCCTCGCTATACCGACACTCCTCCCCGCATCTCCACCACCACTGCATCAATTAACGGTGCGATTGGCGCATCACTATACCAATACTCCTCTTCCTCCACAACTCCACCTCGACTGCAGCAGTAGAGGCATAGGGCACCCCTCTCGCTGCAGCCGACCACACACATCCGAATTGGGCTCGCCAAGCCCACTCGAAGGAGCCTCCTCGGACCGCCTCTACACCTCGGGCCAGCCATATGGGTTCCATTTAGTTCAGCATGGATGACAAGCCACGTCTACTAAGACCCCCCCCCCCGCCGCCAAAGATAAGATGGGAACCCGTTGGTACCATCTTTGAAGTATAATTTATTGATTTTATTTGTAATTGATAGAATCAGGCGTTACTTTGCGGAAATCCATTATAATAAAAAATAAAAATATAAATTTCTTTGCAACTTTCCGGTAAACATATAAAATGATGTGTCTTACCTGGATTGAAGCGCACCTCCCTCTCCGCCTCTAGAGGCGAAACACGTGTCGTATTATCGTCGATGGTGTGTCTTGCCTGGAATAGTGGTGTTGAGAGTAGTAGAGAATAGTGCTTGGTCTAGTGGTGACGGAGTTAGTGTATGCAATTGAGGGAGGGCGGGAGGTGCGCTTCAATCTAGGTAAGACACATCATTTTATATGTTTAGCGGAAAGTTGCAAAGAAATTTATATTTTTATTTTTTATGATTTTATTTGTAACAATAATGTCCTCCAGACTCAATTTAAGTCAGGTCGGTCAGTCTTAATTAGACTAGATATCCGCGCAGGTCAGGATTATAGTGCACGAGTGTATGTCTCAGCACAAATGCACTCTCTATTCCCTGACTCTCGTACCGATGGAATAGCAACCCAATACGACTGGCGTAGGAGTATTTTACGTGCTTTTTGAGGCCCTGAGAAGAAAAACCGCCAACTTTCTTCTTGCCGGGTGCTACTGAAAATTTCATACAGAAAAATACAATAACTGATTTTGACATGACTCTGGATTCGAAACTAGGACCTTATGATCCGCAATTACGCTTACGAGCACTAAACTAACGAGTTAACTTATATATCGGCACACCAACAATAGTTCACAAGCCATTAATTATTCACTGTTTGATTATTACAATTTTAATATCTTGTGATTTACATAATTAAATACTCAATTTAAACTGATTTACACGTGTCCGCCACGCTATAAATAAGGCCGCACAAAGCGCGCTATGTCAGTCTCACTTGGGCGGTCAAACAGCGTAAACCTCTCTAAGTACGTCGTTACGCTCTTAGTCAAATAAACGAGGATTTCAGTATACTTGTAGTGTCTTCTTTAGAAGATTGAGGAAGAGTGATCACCATGAAGGCAACATTAGTGATGTGCTGACGTCACACTTTTTAAAAACTCGAAGGAGCTTGGTACTCCATTATTTAGGATAGAAAATAATCATCAAAATTGGTTCACAATTGACGAAGATATCGCGAAACATTTATAAAAAAAATAACAGACGAAGTGTGGGCCACTTCCTTTATGAAAGTTGGCAAATATACTCGTTGATTGAATGACACACTAATTCAGGCTACTTGCCTGCACCATAATTTATTTTGCAACTGCCTCATTGATTTAGTAGTCGTGGGTGCGACTGCTAATCATTTGGTTCCGGGTTCTAATCCTAGCTCAGTCCAGAATGAATTATTAAGGTTTTTTGTCAATAATTTCTCAGTAGCAACCCGTCGGGAGTCGGGAAACAGGCAGTGTTTCACCCTAGTACCTCGAAAATTTCGTAAAGTCGATTGTCCTGCACCTGATCTCCTCGGTCGTATCGGATTACCGTCCCATCGGACTATAAGATGAGAGAATGTAGAGTGCACCTGCGCTTACGCGAATACTTATGCACTATATACCCGCTTGCATAGATGGCTAGTCTCCTTTAAGACTGATTGGCAACTACTTATCCTTAAGCAATTTCAAGTTCTTCCCTATATTTGTTGTACTTTATTTTATGTTATACCCTCATTTATTTTGCAGTTATACCAGGTTGTTCAAAAAGTTTTTGAAAACACAATGAAACTCTAGAATGGGTATATGTAAATTGTATTTATTTTTCAACGTAACCGCCTTTTAAGCTAATACAACTTTTACAGGTTATTTAATTCCTTTAGAAAGAAAGGTTTGATCCTGGGACTCGAAAAATGCCTCTACAGCACACATCACCCGTTTGTCGCCTTCGAATTTTATACCACGCATGTGCTTTTTCGGGTGAGTAAAACGTGAAAATCACTCGGAGCTAGGTGATTTATCGCTGCGTGCTTGTTTATAACTCTCCAAAATTTATAAAACGTAATAAACTTAAAATTCCGGCCATTATAAACTGGTGCGCCGTATTTTAAGACTTAACCATTAATGTAGGGTTACTCTATTTATCAACTCTTCGTTTTTTTTTTACAAGCGGCTGTTCATGTTTTGAAAAGCTAACGTCAATAACTACTTTAATTATGCACGATTAGCATTATGTTGTAGTCAAGTAGAGCAGTATGTCCAATAGAACTAAAAAAAAATCAAGAACATTTTAAGACCGTGAACAGTTGTTAAACCAAGGCGGATTCTTCCTTGTCCCAAAACTCTGTCAAAATTGGTATTGCGTATGTCCAGCAATAGAACCTTTGCAGGCTGTTATTTTTTACATAGGGTCGCGCTTTCCATTCAGTCCTTTACTAAATTAGCTGTAGCTGTAATTTTCCTTTTAAATTTACTGAATTTCGAGAGTTTAATTAAAGTTACTCTTTTTAATAGAATAACTGCCGCACTCAGAGACGTTTAATGATTACTTAAGCCGTCACTAAGTAAAGATTTAAAAAAATTGACTCTCAGAGTGAGTTAATGGTTCATTAGTAGGCCTAAGGAACCGTTAACTTTAAGTAACGCTCAACCCTTACTTAATTTCGTAATGAATGATTTTGAAAGGTCAATTTGCGTGGTTATTTTCTAGGATTTGTTTATTGTGATCAAATTGTGATATTTTGAGAAAATGTCAGATTATGAAGAGTTTGTTGATTTTGTGGAATACGCAAGAAGATTTAGGGAACCAGGACCAAGACGTTATTTGCGTGATTATTCGGATCCATTTCAGAAATATACTGTTCAAGAATTTTACTCACGATATCGGTTTATCCCCCAAGCAATAAAGAATACCATAATGCCAATGCTAGAACCACATTTAAAAAAACCTAGCAGCAAAGGTCTGCTATTTGCTCCAGAAATAATGATTCTCGTTACGTTGAGATACTATGCTACTGGGAGTTTTCAAGTAAGTAAAATACTGTGTGCTATAGACCTTTAATATTATGTACCTCTTATAAATTATTGCTGCACAACCCAATCACAATATCTGCAAACCTCACTGTAAAGTGATGTTATAGCAAGGTACACAGGATACTGTGATTGAATTAAATAAATCTATCACTTATGCAAGTAGGTACTTACCTGGTCTCATATTTTATCAGAAACTAGATGGGGATGTCATGAATATATGCCAACAGTCAGTATCAAGAATTATAACTACTGTGTCTAATTCAATAGCACTACAAATGAAAATGTTTGTAAAATTTCCATCTACAGTGGGAGATATCAATCAAGTAAAGTATGTTCATGATATAAACATGCTAATAGACATTAATAAATATTATACATATTCTACATTCAACATAATTTTAATAGTAACATACTAAACTTCTGAATATTTCTTGCGGACAAAAGTTTTTTGAAGTGGCACAATTTCCTGGAGTGATAGGATGTATTGACTGTACACATATTAAAATAAGAAGTCCTGGTGGAATGTCTTCTGAAGTGTATAGAAACAGAAAGGGGTTTTTTCAATCAATGTACAGGCAGTAACAGGACCTAATTTAGAATTTTTTGATTTGGTTGCACGTTGGCCAGGCAGCACACATGACAGCTTTATATATAATAGCGGTTCTGTCAAACAAAGGTTAAGCATTGGAAATTTACAATTACAGGGTATGCTACTTGGAGACAGTGGATATGCAGTTAGCAGTGTGTTGCTAACACCATTTTTGTCACCTAATAGTATTAGACAAGAACTGTATAATAATAGTCATATTAAAACACGGAATACTGTTGAAAGGACCTTTGGAATTTGGAAACGGAGGTTTTCTTGTCTCCAGATGGGAATGGGGATCAAAAAGGAAACCGTTGTGGCAGTGATATGTGCATGTGCCACACTGCACGATATATCAACAATGTTAGACGATGTCATGATGCCTTCTACTGATGACAATATATTAATCAGTAACATCGATAATGTTCCTGTACAAGAAAACCCCGACAGTAATGGTTTTTTGGTTAGACAATCTGTTGTCAATAGATTTTTTTCTCAATAGTAAAAAAAATTTAAACAAGGTTAAAATAAAACGTAATTTAGCTAATCACTTGTTTTATTTTGTAAACTGTTTTTTAAAATCTTCAATTCTAATGTAGCTTTTTCCGAAAAATTTTATTTGACTGTAATTCTAGTTCTGCTGCCTGTTGTTTGATTTCTTGAGTAGCCAACTCTAAAAGAAAATAATATATATTAGTTTATAGTTAGTTATTGAAACTACTTATTACAGTTTTTATAGAATGGGTGTGACAAACAAGCACACAGTCTACCTGATGGTTAGTGGATGCTGTGGCCTATAAACATTTACATTTAAATTTAAAAAAGAAAATAACCTAAAATAAAACTAACAAACTAAAATAATAATCTAACGTGAGTTTGCTGTACGCTAGCAATGTTTTCAAAAAGCTGATTTTAGGGTAGCTAGTAAATTATTATATATAATGTATTAAAAAAAACTTCGAATTTAATATCTTTGCCTCCAGTCGTTTTTTTACTTCCAAATTTTTTATTCTCAAAACACCTTCTCTTCTTATATAATCGGCAGGCTTTCGAGGAACACAATCAGTTGGGCTAAATGGAACGTTTTGTTCATCTTGAGTTCCTGATGAAAACATATATATTAAAACATGTAAAATACACACAAATAGTATTTTATATATTAGCTATAGAAATGAAGTTTTTTCTTTATATGTATTACCTGTGTTATTTATAACTTGAATTGGAAATTCAGTGGTGAGCATTTTTTCAGACTCTGCAAGATGATATTTATCTGCTTTATTGTCAAATGTTTAGATGATTTGGCTCATATTTTTTTAATAATATAAAGTTATAATTTAACATAGCATACCTATTTTGCAATCACTGGATTTCACTTCCTCCTCTTCAAGTGAACTTAATAGGCATCCATCACTATCAAATGAATTTTTCACTTCACAAATTATAACAGGTGCTGTCTAAAAAAATAAAGTTATTAAAAAAGCTGCTTCAGGTTTATATTAAAAACAAAATTTATAATTATACCTACTTCTTCTACCATGGTTATAATGGCTCCTTGGTGTGGTGGCAGTGGTAGGTTTTACGGGTCCCCCTCCAGTTTTAAATAAACTACCACGTTCAGCTGCACGAGCTTTACGTGTAAAAGCCTTCATGTTATCCCATGCCCTCTTTGAATTAACGAGAAGTACAAGAGCATAACAAGTAACAAACAACACTTCATAATAGTAATTTATAGCTTAAAGCTTATAAAATGATAAAAGAAAGTGTAAGTTTATGCACCTTATAAACATAAGCTTGGCAATTAAACTCTTGCGTTATGGACTCCCATGCAGTTTTCTTTTTATCAACTGACTTGCCGTCAGTTGCTTTCGACTCCACAATTGGTTTACTCTTTATTAGGGCTGCTAACAAGGCCTTTTCATCGCTGGTGAAATTAGGCACTTTGAGCATGGTGTTTTCGGCTCCTAAAATGAAAACGCACATTAATTTTAATGCTTAATCTCGTCTGGTATAAAAAAGCGTAATTTAGTACCTAGTGGAACTACTTACCATATTTTTCTTGTCACTTGTTATTTATCCAAAATATATGTTGGATATGGTGTGCGGGTTCCGTTGAAATAACAGGTAGGGATCACTGAATACACCACGAGAATCCGATGCTACTAGTACGACGAATTAATAACAACTAAACTAGGAGTAGTCTCCGCTAGGAGTTTATTTACACAAATCTCTGAGGTATATATAGAATAGAAAGTTTGTTTAACAATGAAATTCACTCCTGACATCTGACTGGCATCTGGTGTCGATTGCCACAGTAAAAAATAAATTTGGAATTTCAGTTATTACGGTGCTGTGTACGGTTTAAAAACACTTTTTACTGTTTTGTGTTGGAAAAATCACACTGAAGTGTTTACTAATATGTATTAATATGTTTGTAGACGATAATCTATATATAATCTATATATAAAGACGAAAATCTATTATTTCCGGAAAGCAATTTATTTAGATAGCAACCCTTACAACTTATCGACATCTATCGATATTGCTTAGCACGGCCACATGTTTCCTTAAGTTACTCATTAGCTAATGAATCATTAAATTTAGTCTCTGGGACGTATCACTCATTAACGAAGATAATGGTAATTTGTTAATTATTCGTTAGGGTGAATTTAATGAAGCTCTCTGAGTGCGGCAGTAAGAGTAACAAGCGAGCACACAGCGCAGCTGATGGTTAGTGGATGCTGTGGCCACTATATCTACATTTATCTTCGATTAAGAAAAAATCAATTAAATAGTTAATAGAATCAGGCGTTACTTTGCAGAAATCCGTTATACTAAAGATATTATAGTCACTTTGCAACAGCTATTAGCGGTCAGCCACCTCAGAGTCCACATCACCTGAAGATGCCTCGTGTAGAGGCGAAATACGTGTTGTATTATCGTCGATGGTGTGTCTTTCCTAGAGTAGTGGAACAGTTCAACACCTACGAATAACTGTAGTGTAAATCCCATCCAAATCCTCTGACAGGTTTTTGCGTGATACTTGTCCAGACAGATAGACAGACAACGCTTCCAAACAAAATTGTTTTGGCATCTGTAACGATAATATAGTATACCCAAATTCAAATTTCAAAAAAATAAATCAATTTACAGAAATCGTCTTGTTAGAGTTTTATTATTAGTAGTATAGATATAGATTGATTTGGAAAGGTTTAGTTTATAAATATTTTGTCGTATTTCTTATGAAAAATTTGTAGCTTAATTATAATATAACAGTGTTACTTTTACAATAATTTTTACTTTTGTTATACATAAGTACAATCCCGTAGCATTCATTGCTATGCAGATGACAGCACTGGTGATGCTTTTTACACCGGCCGTGCCAATATTTCTCGGGAAAACGTCTCTGAATACGAGACAAACTTGTTTCTGAAGTCGATCTTTGCTGAGTCTCGGATTGGGGGCGACTAAATCTAGTCCAGTTTAACCCCCAGAAGACACAAGTTTGCGCGTTAACCGCTAAAAAGTATCCCTTTGTCGTACCCACTCAGTTTCAAGGCACTTCCCTTGTTGCCTCAGCCAGTATCGGAATCCTCGGCGTCGACATATCGAGTGACGTGCAGTTTCGTGTTCACTTGGAAGCGAATGCCAAATTGGCCTCTAAAAAGCTTGGCGTGCTCAGCAGAGCGGGACAGTATTTTATGCCGGCACACCGCTTGCAACTTTACAAGGCGGAGGTTCGGTCGCACATGGAATACTGTTCCCATCTCTGGGCTGGGGCTCCCCAGTACCAGCTCCTTCCACTTGACTGCATCCAGCGCAGAGCGGCTCGAATCGTCGACCACCGACTGCTTTCCGATTGGCTCGATTCACTGGCGCTGCGAAGAGATGTTGCACCTCTTTGCATTTTCTTTCGCATATACCATGGGAGTGCTCTAAGAAATTGTTCGGATTAATCCCAGCCGCCAAATTTCGTGAACGCACTACGTGGCAAACGTCCCGATACCATCCACAACATCTGGATGCTTGGCGGTCAACCACTGTACGTTTCAGAAAGAGTTTTCTTCCGCGTACAACCTCTCTATGGATTAGTTTACCACCGCCGATTTTTCCGGACCGATACGACCTGGGGACCTTCAAGAAAAGACCTTACTCCTTTCTAAAGGGCCGGCAACGCACCTGCAATTCCCCCTGGTGTTGCGGTTGATCATGGGCGGCGGTAGTCACTTAACATCAGGTGAGCCGCGTGCTCGTTTGCCCCCTCTTCTATAAAAAAAATTAAAATTTATCGGAGTATGATTGTGACGAATTTGAACTAGACTAATGCGCAGCGCAATTGGTAAGACGCACCTAACGCAGCTCAATCTGCTTTAATTATGTCATTTCTTTGAACTAGTAATGCTTCCATGTCTTCTTATTATTCTTTAATTCCTATACATGCAAGCTAGAAAAGTAAAATACAGAAACGATATATATATATATATATATATATATATATATATATATATATATATATATATATATATATGAAAATTGGTTGGAAACGCCAATGCCAGCAGAATACTTAAATGAGGCTGCAATTGAGTAATTCCTTATCCAATCCTAATTCGGTGAATTTCATTGATTTAAAATTGTGTTTCGGCCCAAATTTACGTGGCCTGCTTTATTATTATTATTTTATTATATCTCCTGACATATAGTAGGTAGTACAGCAGGCACACGCTCGACTGTGGCCGGCTTCACTCGGTCACTGTGACGTAGGCGCGAGATCCGAAGCTTGTTGTCTTGCAGCAATTGCTTGACATGCTGAAGCTCGGCGGCCAGATGTTTTCTGTCACAGATCCCTCGTACTCTTTGAAACTAAGATTTACCCACGGTAGCTAACTGTGAAGGATGATGGTGAGATTCACCCTTTAGATATCGGTTGGTATGAGTTTTTTTTCTACACACACTTTGACCAATAGTCTTATAAGAATTTCGATAGATTTCGATGTCAGAGGAATCACAGACAAGGTTGGCTACATCTTGAAGCGAGTTTCCATTAAAACATACTACAAGCCGCCGAAGAAGATTAGTCAATTTTTACCATCCGTCAAGTGTAATATCCCTCTACAAGATGCCGGAGTGTACAAGTTAGATTGTGAATGTGGTCTCTGTTACATATGTCAAACAAAAAGATCCATAAAAACCCGCGTGAAAGAATATATAGCTTACGTGAAGCACTGACGCCCCGAGAAGTCTGTAGTCTGTGATCATGTTCAAAATCGTCCCCACTATTACATCAAATTTGATAAACTACAAATCCTCGCAAAAGAACACCGATTCCTTCCAAGGATGATACTTGAGACTATTGAAATTAAAAAACAACCTAATTTCAATAGAGAACATGGGTGTGTGCTGCCATCTGCTAGGGATCCTATAATTAACAAAATTAAACCCAAACCCAAGCATACCACTGCAAGACTTCAAGATACTCTAAGTTCGTTTTACGTAAATCGGACCAAAAATTAATATTCAAAAACTGAAGGTAGCCGAGCTAACAATGACATTGGGACGTCAAACATCTCAGTCCACTCCGTAAGCATGGGTGCTGTAAAGCACCCGAAACGTCGGGAATTAAAAATAAGTAAAATCAGTTAAATAAACGCGATATAATCAGTAAATTTAGTTTTATTCATTTTACTCATTTTACATATTCATTTTACTCAATTAAATATAAATTATTTATCAATCTATCTTGTCTAGATCCACGCTGCAGCTTAATGTAGCTACAGCAAGACAGCGTCGGCTCGATTTGGGTCACGCTCGATGGGAAAACAAGCATTAGTTAGCATCTTAATGCATATCCATATTCTGGTAACGAGGAATTTTATCTTTGACTTTAGGGTTGAAAATACTTTTCATTCTTAGTCATGAAACTTTACAGGTTGCAATATCAACTCACAATCAAGAGGACCATCATCATTTGTCACCCTGACTAATATAAAAAATAAGTCTTTATAAATTTTCAAATTCAACTATGATTAAATTTTCCATCGTAATGTATTAGATTTACAGAATTATATCAATAGAATTCAGTTAATGCAATTCCGAATCATTGAATATTAGCAAACAAAAGCCTTTTCTTTTTTTTTGCGGATGGAAAATCATCTAATGACGCCTTTCGCTCTGGATGGAGCGTAAGGGAGTGTCAGACTTTTTCCTACGTTCCGGAGCCGCGGTATCTCTTTCGAACAGCCCGCAACCCGGCAGGCGTCGGCCCTTGCGGGCCCCTTCACGCTGCTGACAGCTCTTTGAGGCGCGCGTGGAACAAAACGCGCCGTCGACACGGCCTGTCGTCGTTGGATGGACGGACGGCGAGCTACCCATTGGTCGCCGTCCACAGGCCCGCGCCTACGGTGGCCGGGGGCCACGACGTAGCCCCCGAAGCCCGGGGCGTCTCCCGCGGCGGCCGGGGAGGAAAGCTGCTGCTCTCTCCTTCTCCCGCTCCGCCACCTCCTTCGCTAGCATCACTGCTTCGCAGAAGGTGGTGACGGCATCCCATTCCGTCTCGCTCCGGACCATTGCTTCGACCAGGGCCGGACGCGAGAGGTCGCCGCCACCTATCGCCGCTACGAGGACACGGCGGTGCTCCGCCCAAGCAGGGCACAACTCTACGGTGTGTTTCACCGTGTCCTCCGGTCCATCCTCGCAGTGGGAGCACCCGGGCGTTTCCTCCCGCCCGATTCGGTGCAGGAACCTCCCGAACACACCGTGTCCGGTGAAGACCTGCGTCAGGCGGAAGGTGAGGATGCCGTGGCGTCTCTCAAGCCACTCCTCAAAGAGGGGTCTTATTGCCGCTATAGTGGCGTGCCCAGCACGGGGTTGCGACAGTCGCTGTCTCCATGTCGCCATGAGATCGTGCCGGAAGTCTGTCCGCTGCGCGACAACTTGCCGCGGCAGCGGGGTTCTCGGGGTTCTTGCG